TGTGTTGGAAATTCACCCCTGAACAACTGCAAAATCCTCAAAAACTGGCAGAATGCTTGAAAAAAAGGTGTCATGATTCTGGCAGTTCCAAAGTAACACAAATCATTGTAACGTGCTGGGGCCTGGCTCATGCCTATCGAGCTGCCATTGATACTGCTATCAACTTAGTGACAGACCCTGCGGCCACTCCAAGCCCTGTGACAGATCCAACGGCCACTGTGACCCCTACGGTGGATTCTGCAGCCGCTCCAGCTCCAGCTCCTGCAGCCGCTCCAGTCCCAGTTCCTGCAGTCGCTCCAGCCCCAGCTCCTGCAGCCGCTCCAGCTCCAGCTCCTGCAGCCGCTCCAGTCCCAGCTCCTGCAGCTGCTCCAGTCCCAGCTCCTGCAACTGCTCCAGCTCCAGCTCCTGCAGCCGCTCCAGTTCCAGCTCCTGCAGCCGCTCCAGTTCCAGCTCCTGCAGCCGCTCCAGTCCCAGTTCCTGCAGTCGCTCCAGTTCCAGCTCCGGCCGCTACTCCAGTCCCAGTTCCTGCAGTTGCTCCAGTTCCAGCTCCTGCCGCTACTCCAGTCCCAGTTCCTGCAACTGCTCCAGTCCCATGTGGCGGAAGTTTGTACGGAGTGCACCATCATCATATGCCAGCTCATTGGCAATAATGGCCTGGAAAGAGGATGAGGAACCCACAGTGGATGAAGCGGCTAAACAACTCCGGCAGTACGAAGAAAGTCTCTCCTCTTCCTTACAGGCCTGCGTCTCAGCTGTGGAGAAACTTTCTGAAAAGGTTCACCAACTTGAAGAGAATCTATTGTCCTCCCCACCTGAACCAACCAGTGTCCACCGACCAAAAGAGAACACCTGGGAGAAACTTTCTGAAAAGGTTCACCAACATGAAGAGAGATTATTCTCCTCCGCACCTGTACAAAGCAGTGTCTCAGCTGTCAGGGGTAGGCGTTCACCCACACAAGGAAGACGATATGGTGGGTACTCACCCCGTGCCACCCTGTGGTTTTACTTACGAGACCATGGAGAGGACATGAGAAAATGGGATGGAAAATCTACCGCGACCCTAGAGGAACGGGTACGTGAGTTGCAAAAGAAAACAATCAGGAAAAAGGGACTCTCCGAAAAGTTTGCTGCTCCAACTTCCAGCAGACAGTCCTTCAAACACAGAAACGAAGAAGATTCTGACCAGGAATATTGGAAGTGATCATGGACTGGCCAGAAGGCAAATACTTTGGGATATCATCAGAGGAGGAGGTGGGTCGTGCTGAAGAAGCCCCACGTTGGGCGCCAAAAATACTGCCGTGGTTTAACCTGGCCGGCAGCTAAACACCACGCAGCCGTTCGCTCACCCTCCCCCCTCCCTCTCTGGGACGGGGGAGAGAAATGGAAAGTGAAGCCCGTGAGTTGAGATAAAGACAGTTTAATAAGACAGGAAAATAATAATAACAAAATAATAATAACAATAATAACAATAATAACAATAATAACAATAATAATAATATGGTGATAATAGGGAAATAATAATAATATGTACAAACAAGTGATGCACAATGCAATTGCTCACCACTCGCTGACCGATGCCCAGCCTAACCCCGAGCAGTCCGGCCCCCTCCCCCCGGCTAGCCACCCCTATATATTGTTTAGCATGACGTCAGATGGTATGGAATACCCCTTTGGCTAGTTTGGGTCACCTGTCCTGGGTCTGTCCCCTCCCAGCTCTTACTGCACCCCCAGCCTGTCCGTTGGCAGGACAGAGCAAAAGGCTGAGATGTCCTTGGCTTAGTATAAGCACTGCTCTGCAACAATTAAAGCATCGGGGTGTTATCAGCACTCTTCTCATCCTAAGCCAAAACACAGCATTCCACCAGCTACTAGGAAGAAAATTAATTCTGTGCTAACTGAAACCAGGACAGATCCCAACAAAGACGATGTAGTCTTAAGTGTTTAAGCAGTATACTGTTCGGTTGGGTGGGATTCGGTTGCCTGTGTGTGTAAGAGTGTGACTGAGACGGAACTTAGTTCCAAAGCGAGTGTGGAGGTCTTCTAACCGCGGTTCCAGTCTCCCGTGAGGGACTTGGCCGGTGAAGGACCAAAGCGATTCCTATAGGATTCGTGGGTGGGTGATAGGTCCTAAACCCCCTGCAAGACACTCTTACTAAGGTAACCAAGGGCTGTGGGAATTGCCATAGTAAAATTCCTAGATGGGTCAGACAGAATTGAAGACCAAGGACCAGAAGAAAGGGAGCAAATTACCAGGCATACCACCAGAAAGTCCATTAGGAATAACGATTAGAAACTGGAACAATAGGGGCCCCAGAAAATGAAGGAGTAAAATTAAAAATGGTCCGGTATTATATGATAGAATGACCAAAAGAACCTTTAAGACCCCATGTATTTTGGACGATATTTGGGTCCACGGAGGACTGGGTCTGTCAGGCTTTGAACATTAATGTTAATAGTAGAATACCCATGGATCCGGAAGAGAGCAAGTATGCTGCAGCTGAAACATGGAATTAGAAATTAGAGAGCGATTGATTAAGAATGAATATGTGCTACATTTGCAATGTACTGTGCCTGTGCTGCGCTTAGACCTCCAGATAACAGGAACCCCTCGGACCCCGAGAACCAGATCAAAACAACCTCATGGTTCGGACTTTAACCAAGGGGTCTGAGATAAGGAGGACTGTTCACAAAGGGACAGGTTATGCATATGTATAGGTGTATTGGGAAACTTCATGTATATGTAACTCTTTACTGGATATAACCAAAGCAAGTTGCCACGTCAGGCATGCACGACTTTGGTGGGGCTACTCTCCCCCCCCCCCCCCGCCACCCAGCGCTGAGTAAACATACCTACTTTACAATCTTACTGATTGTGGAGTCAGTTTTCTGTGAGTCATTTTGGTGAGCCAGGCAGGAGACACTCTGCTCGGCTGCAGGATTGGCTGCGGAGCGGACGCCCCTAGGTGCACCCTGAGTGTTTTGCTTGGAGGGGACGCCACTCTCAGCCGCTCACTGCAGGAGCAGACAAAGACCTCCTGAAGCTGTGGACAAACGGTATGTTTTCAGCTGCTGGAGGGATACTAACCGGAGTGTTAATAATTGTATGTCTTATTCTTAAATGTCCAGGTATTTTGTGTTGAAAGTATTTGTGTAAGTGGAAGGGTTTGAAACAAAGTGGAATAAGTCACTCCACGAAGAACACAGTCAGAGACAATACTTGTTTGGTTGGTTATCATTCTAAATTATATTCTTGTGGTATGAATGAGATGTGCTAGAGGCCTTGCTGTGTGCTTGAGCGATTGTGCTGTGTGAGTGAGACGCAGCATTGCTGTGACGCGAGTGCGGAGTTCCGATCCGCAGTTCCGTATTCTTCGCGAGGGGAGTGGGCAGAGACGAACTAAGTGCGTGACAGACAGAAAAGAAGGGCTGTTTTATCCAAGTTTTGATTGGTGGTGCCTAATATATGGGCCTGGTGGTGTATTCCCCTGTGCCGCTTGGGGGAGGAGGTGGAAGAGGGCGGATGGGGGGAAGGTGCTTTTGGTTTCTTTCCTTTGTTTCTCATTTCTCTAGCCTGTTAGGCAATAAATCTTACTATCTCCCTACTCTGAGTCTGTTTTGTATGTCACGATAATTGTTGAGCGATCTCCCTGTCCTTATCTCAACCCTTGAGCCCTTTGTATCATGTTTTCTCCCCCTTTCCCTTTGAGGAATGGGAGTTAGAGAGCAGTTGTGGTGGAGATCGGCTGCCCACCTGAGTAAAACCACTACACCTTGCCGGTGTATTTAGGAATTCCATTATCATGACAGTTAGGAGAGGTCATCTTGATGAAAGCAAAGCACTTTCAAAATCTGTAAAGAGAAATACATTTTGATTGTATACTTGTGAGAAACACTCCGTAGCCACTAACTTAGGCTCAGGCGAGGATCTCAGCGAAGTAGTAACTTATTCGCGATTGCGATGGCGGGCGCCCCACAAGCAGGAGAGAGCGCTTCTACTAGTTCCAAAACACAGTTTATATACCTTTTGATGGCAGGACCCTCCCCTGTTTCCCCACTGAGTGGGTAATCCAGGTTCACAATCTGTCTGATGCTTCACAAACAATGCATGGCCTTCAGTTGCCGGCCTGTTAAATTTCAAATTTCTTTTGACATTTTTACTGCTTGAAGTGGTAATGTTTCTTCACTTATCTGACTTGACTTGACACTGTGATTTTCACCTAATTGTCCTAAGGAGTCTGGTTGTCTGCATTTTACAAGGTCGCCTGCTAAGCTTTCTTATCACTGTAAGCATATCTCAGTACCACATTCCCTCCTTCTAAACAATGTAACTCTGCAAAAACAACATTTCTATTCCCACATACTGAAATGAAATGTGTAGAAATTTATGCTATGTAAGGCTGCTTAAATTACATATTTTCTTTTGATTTATATTTATCATGTAAACATACTTGTACCGTAATATGTTTAGAGAGTGGTTCATCTTTAGAGAGTCGTGCATATAATTAGTTAAGATGCAAATTTGTCTCAATTAGGTGTTAAGACATGTTTTGAAGACCTATGCCTATGGATTAACAGTGTAGCAGTGGAAGAAATACTGTCTACCTGTTTATCTTCTAGAAAATTTTAACTAAATTAGGTTACTTTTTTAGGACTCATATTGTGGTCAGCTGTTTTGTAAAATAGCAAGTCATATACCATTTAGTCATATATAATTTCAGGGGTGTACAAACTATTTATATATATATATATATATATTTTAAGGGGGGAAAACGATATGTGTCTTTCTACAGATTAATATATTGTCTAGATCTGTTAGCAAGGTGAGGGTTTGCCTTCTAGGCTGCACAGGTAAGTATCTCAGAAACAGAAAATTAATGCAGAATATTTCTCTTTAAAAATCAGACTTTTATTTTAAATGAGTATGTAGTAGTTTCATGTCCGATGGTGAAGTCTATCTGCTGCTATATAATTGTTTACCTCCTTTGTTTCCTTCATTGTAGTCTGCGGTTAGCTTTACTAAATGAAGCAAAAGAGGTGCGAGCAGCAGGATTGCGAGCCCTTCGCTATCTCATTCGAGACTCCAGTATTCTCCAGAAGGTGCTGAAGTTGAAAGTGGATTACTTGATAGCAAGGTAATTTTCCCTTCTTGTTGTAAATTGTAAAATTGTAAATCACTTATTTTTCATGGTTGAGACAGGTTTGAAAAGATGGTTTCATATTCTCTTATATTCTTGATATGCAGCTTTATAATAGCCTGTTTTATTCAGTATGAATAATATAATTCTTTAAAATGTTGGATTCATAATACATCACACCTTCTAATCCAAATAAAGTGATATCCTAATACATGATCTACTATGAATAATCTAAAAAATTAGATGCACAAAATATGTTTCTGAATCATAAATGTCATTAATTATAAATTACTTTATGGTATTATTAGAAGGTCGGGACTTTAGTAATTTTCATGTCTTAAATTGTTTTGCGGGGTTTGTTTCAATTCTTTGTATCATCACCATAGTGTTTTAGAGCCTCTAGTACAATGTCAGGATGAAAAAGTTGTTCATGCCCAAGAATTTATAATCTAACCCATACCACAACAGAAAGATACCAAAGGGCAAACTAACAATGAGATAATAAGGTCAGTATGGTGACTAGATCTAATTATCATCATTTCTAGTGCTTCCTTTGTTAAAATAATTTTGCATTTAATATACTGATATATGTGTGTGTGTGTTTAGTGTTTTTTTTTACATGTATATGTACACACACACACACAGTTTTAGTGTGCTGTTAAATTTTGTTAGGGCAAATGGACTTTTCTGATCTGAGAATGCATAGAATGTTGATTTGAAATATGAATGCTTTTATTTAGTCTTATTTGAAATGACAGGTGTAGCTAGCTCAGAATTGTTGGAGGTGTTATGCCTTGTCATTGTATATTTGAGAGCATTTTAGTGATTTACTTATAATGAAAATAACTGTAAATAATATAAATTGAAACTAATTAACTAATCATGAATATATTTGCTGAAAAGCATTTTTTAAAACAATAATTCATAATATTTTTATTATCTTTATTTAGTTGCATGAATATTAATGAGAGATGTTAACAGTTAAGGTGAAAGTTAATGTTGTTATAAACAAAACATGTTTTTAACTTATTTTAGGTGCATTGACATACAACAGAGTAATGAAGTAGAAACAACACAAGCACTTCGATTAGTCAGAAAGGTAAAATCTAACTATATATGGTCTAACTAGCTATATCAGTCAGCTGTACTGATTCCAGGTTTTCTCCATCAGCAGTTCTTTTTCACACAGTCTTATTTTATCATATGAGAAGAAATTATAGCTGTTAATTCAAAAAAAAAAAAGAGAGAGAAAGAAAGCTAGTGCTGAGACTTATTTTGATTTTAATCTCTTATGACTGAGAATCTTGAGTAATCTAGAAAAATCCAGGTAATTTTGTTTTGATAGAGGTAAAACTGAACAAGATTTGGGAACAGCTCATCAAATGATGAGTGCAAGGGTATAAGAACCACATTATTAAGTATCATCTAATGATTTAACTTCTTTGTATAGTGTCATTAAACACCTGTGAATGAAGGACTGGAGATTTTCTGCCACTTGAGAAGTAAAATTGCCATTGCAATTAAAGGAATGCTTTCAGCCTTATTGCTTTATCTGTGGAGGCTGGTGTTATCCATCTTCCCTTTCCCTTTCCCCTTTTTTCTGTTATGCAATAAGTTAGTCTTTGCTGATTACTGTACCATGTACCCATGGACATGAGATGTTTGAAGTTTTGGTAGCTGCATTTTCAAGTTGATCCTAGAGAAAATAGTGTATTACAGCTACTGAAGCTATTTTCTTAGGTGATTATAGGTGATTATAGTAGATTATAGTTGTATTGGATTTTGCTGTTTTTTATCTTGCTTGTACTCTTTACTGAGCATCTTAAAAACTCAGGTAAAGTTTGAAGTAGTTGGAAGAATTGTTTCACAGGAGCACAGTGTTTAATCTGTTTGTGTTTTGTGTTTTTTTTGGTGTGTGTACATATGTATATATTTAGGTTGAAAATATGGAGGTTTGATATGCAATTTCTTTTCTTAAAATTAGCTCACTTCATTTCTATTTTACAGAAGAAACAATGTGTTTGATTGACACAATTGTTAAAAACAGTTTTAAAGCTAAAAAAGAAAAAAATAAAAGAACAACAACAACAAAAAAGGATGGATCATCTGTATCAGTGGCACAGGTCCTTGAGGAAGTCACCATTTACAAATGTTATTTGTTAATCTGGTTTAAAGAAAACATCACTATAGGGCCAGAATAATTTAAATCTGAAGATGGAATGGAAACACATTTGTAATGATTTGGCTTTATTTGGCTCAGACTCAGTGGTTTTTAGGATTCCTAAAAAAAGTATATAAAGGTCTAGGAGAGGAGAATGGATGGCAAATATTACAATCAGGCAGAGTCAATTAATTCATTCAGAAGATGGTGTTTACTAGTGAGCTGTGGAAGAACTGAACTGGGTCCCATCAGCATATAAGAACTGTTGATTTCTGTTCTAAAGTCTGGACAAAATTCTTTACCTCATTTTTGATAGTAAATATTCCTGTGTAAGAATAGTATAGATATAAAACTTTAAAATTAAAACATTATCTCACTTTCTTCTCATCCTTTTCATAGAGGAGAAGAACAATATGTAAAATATTAGTCGTTTTCTGAATTTATAAAGGCACTTAGTGGTAAACTTTTTTTAAAAAAAAGTGCAGGTTAAAGTAGTAGAGGAAGAGAAAAGAAAAACAACTTTACACTTTTTAAACTTTTTTGAGGGCTTTGAGTGCTTGTATTCTCTTTTGACTGCTCTCTGTGGGGCAGTGTCTCCTAGTGAGAGCTTTGTAATTTAACAGTGTCTTCAGCCATGAGACCAATGGTATAAAGTTGCTTCAAAAAGCATTTCTCCATCTAATCAAAGTCAGTTTGTCCATTTTTTAATAATTTAAGAGGTAGAATGTTTTATTTTCAAAGCAGAAGTTGGGTGAAGTATATACATGAACTGCCTTCTTTTTTTAAAAAAATTTTTAAAGGAATCTTTAAAGGCTGACTTCATAGTCTTTGTTACTTCATCATAGTTGCTTATAAGTTATCTTGCATCACCTGTCCTTGGTCTTCAAAACTGCATTTAAGTTTATAGAGCAGAATGAAAACAAATGCAAAACTTGTATTTGCTCTACTAAAATACTTGGAGTTGAATATTAAAAGAAATCAGTCTTTCCTTGAGCATTTTTTCTCATCTCATTTTTTTCATTAGTAGAAAAAATGTGATATGTTATGAAATTATATTGTTCCCTTTTAAATCAGTCAGACAAAAACAAAACAAAACAAACAAAAAAAACCCACAACTGTTTCCCCTTAGTAATACATCTGTTTAACGCCAGCAATGTTCATATTCCATAGTATATAGGATATGCATATTTAATTTTAGCAAACTATGAAAAAATGTGAATAGATAGCTACTCAGCCTTTGTAGTCAAAGCCTTATTTGGGTATTTGGGGTGGTGTTTTTTTTTTTGTTTGTTTGTTTGTTTTGTTTTGTTTTTCCTTTAATGTGTGCATGTGGTCTTGCTCCTTAATCTGGTTTAAATTCTTAAACTAGTAGCTGAGGATTTCCATGGCACAGGAGTTCTTCAGTAGTGTAAAGGAACATTGGCAGTTAAAAACTGTTCTATTCTGTGTCAAATTTGTTGTAAATGGGTTTTATCTCTTAATCACTAATGATTAATGAAAGTAGGTCTGGTTTCATCTTTACTTTTCACTCTAAGATTTTTTTTGCAATGTAACTATATAAGATGATAAAGCTGAATTACACTGCAGTTCTAAGAAGATCAGGTACTATACAAGAGGATTCAGATCTGTTACTGGCAGTTGCCTTCCAAATTCTGTAGCAGTATCTTTTGTTGACTGTCCTTTTTTATAGTCTGCAACTTCTCTTGTGTGCAGAAGGAGGTTCCCTACAAATCATGAGAGGTCAGTCTTAGCTAATGAAACAGTTGAATAGGTATTGAAGAATCTAATGCATTATGAATTAATCTCCTAGAAGAGTTTGTAATCTGCTCTTTGTCAGTGGATAGTGTTCTCTGTTGCTAAAGAAATTATTGGAAATGATCTGAAAAAGGCAGCAATATCTCTTTCTAAACAGTTGTCTTTTTTATTCTTATATTATGATGTGATAAAAATAAAAAGCAAGCAGGAAGAGAATGGTAAAGTAAGTTAAACAGAGTTTCAAGAACAATAGAAATAATTTTATTATTTGCAGGATATGAGTAAGTAATATATGGAATGGTTTGTCAAGTTTTATCTAGAAAACAGAATGCTGGTGAATTTGTGAGTACGTTTAAAGAAATATTATGAAGAAACCAGAGGGCTTTTTCTTTCATTTTTGGCAGATGATCACTGTGAATGCTTCATTGTTCCCCAGCTCTATTACTAATTCTTTGATAGCAGTTGGAAATGATGGTCTTCAAGAAAGAGACAGAATGGTTCGAGCATGTATAGCCATTATCTGTGAACTGGGTAAGATAAATGGAAGCTAATTAAGAAAACTACATGGTTGTCATCGGTTTTCTAAGGGATTCTCTTCTGTGAGTTCATATTAAATATATTTTATTCAAATAATAAAGAGGATTTGTTTAATAACTAAGGAATCAGATGTTTGATGTTCTTAATTTCCATTGATGATTAGAGGATTTCCATTGATGATTAGAGGACTGGAGCACCTGTCATACAAGGACAGGCTGAGAGAACTGGGCCCATTTAGCCTGGAAAAGAGAAGACTGAGGGGAGACCTCATCAATGTGTATAAATATCTGAGGGGAGGGTGTCAAGAGGATAGAGCTGGTCTCTTTTCAGTTGTGCCCAGCGACAGGACAAGAGGTAATGGGCACAAACTGAAGCACAGGAAGTTCTGGCTGAATATGAGAGGGCACTTCTTTACTGTGAGGGTGACAGAGCACTGGGACAGGTTGCCCAGAAAGGCTGTGGAGTCTCCTTCTCTGGAGATATTCAAAACATGCCTGGATGCCATCCTGCACAATGTGCTCTAAGTGATCCTGCTTGGCAGGGGGGTTGGACTAGATGATCTTCAGAGGTCCCTTCCAACCTTGGCCATTCTGTGATTCTGTGTGATTTCATAGGTTTAGTCATTAGTTTAATATAAACCAAAATCATTTCAACTTAAAATGGAAATCTCTTAAGTGAAGTACTTGAAAATTTCAGTTTTTGTGTTACCTTAAAAATGTTTCCTTGCTAAGGCTGATTTTTCTAAAATTAATGGATTGGAAGTAGTGAGAAATCCATACATGAAGTGTTATCAAATGTAACAGTGCTCAGAGAACTACAAAATATTTTCCTTAATTTTTTTTTTACGAGTACTGTAGTTAGCTGTCTTCTGGAAATCAGTATTTGTGTCTATGTAAAAGTTACTTGGACAGTGATCTATACTAAATTCCTATACATGTGTGTGGGTATTGATTTTTAAAGTATTTTCAGTTTTGTATCAATCAGTCTGAAATAACTTCAGCTTTTTCAAGATGCAGTCTTCCGTTTGTATCAGGCTTACATGACAAGGTTTTGGTAGCAGAGGGGCTGCAGGGGTGGCCTCTGTGAGAAGAGTCCAGAAGCTGTTCCATGTTAGATAAGGGCCAGTTCCAGATGGCTCCAAAAGTGACCCGCTGCTGGCCAGAGCCAAGCCAGTGAATGACATTGGTTGTGCCTCTGGGAGAACAGACTTAAGAAAGGGAAAAAACTGCTGCGCAACAGCAGCTGGGAGAGAGGAGTGATAAACAGCCCTGCAGACACCAAGGTCAGTGAAGAAGGAAGGGGAGGAGGCACTCCAGGTGCCAGAGCAGAAGTTCCCCTGCAGCCCATGGAGAGGAATCCCCACAGGGGCAGGTGATCAAGTAGGAGCTGCCACCCACAGGGGACCCATGTGAGAGCAGTCCATTCCTGAAGAATGGACCTCGTGGTATGGACCCATATTAGAGCAGTTCTTGAAGAGCTGCTGCCTGTGGGAAGCCCATGCAGGATCTTTTTGGGAAGGATGGCATCCCATGGGAAGGACCCCATGTTAGAGCAGGGGCAGAGAGTGACCGAGAAGGAGAGGAAGAGATGAAGGGTCCCTGTCCTTATCTTAATCCTTGATCCCTTTTCCATTGTATTTTCTCCCCCTCTTCCTTTGAGGAGGGGGAGTGAGAGAGCAGTGTGGTTGAGTTTAGCTAGTCAGCAGTGTGATACTACCACACTGTTTTAAAGAAATAAGTAATCTGTTAGTCTTTTATATTCTAGAATAAATATTTTTATCCATGGCAGTCCAGTGATGTACAAAATATTTTTGTGGGGAAATCTTGGCTCTACTTTATGAAAACTTGTTTGGAAATAAGCTGGGAAATCAGTGCACCACGGTGACTGCCTGTTCAGAATTTTATTTGATGATAAATTAATCCAAAATATCATTTCATTGCTAATGTCAGTTCCATTAAAAGTTTTATTTGTTCCTCAGCAGTGTTCAGGAAGAAAAAGATAAGACGCTTGCTGTTTAGTACGTATATTGGAAGTCTTGAAATATTTTCTTTCCTATCACTCATTGAAGTCACTTATTTTTCTTCATTTAGCACTTCAGAATCCCGAGGTGGTGGCTCTTCAGGGTGGTTTAAATACCATCTTGAAAAACGTGATCGATTGTCAGCTTAGCCAAATAAATGAGGCTCTGGTAACTACAGTTTTGCACCTCATTAATCATCCAAAGACCAGACAGTATGTGCGAGCAGATGTAGAATTAGAGGTGGGTTCAACTTTACTTATTTAGTAACAGAAATTAAACACTGTATTAGTAATAAAAATGTTTAATTTTCACTTTGGGTTTCACTCTGTTCATACAAAATGTTTAAAATGTTTTAGGCCAAGACAATAATGATTTATAAAGAAGGAATAACATGACAAATTGGAGTGGGACTGATGAAAGAACAAAACCCATTAACTGTATTCTCATCTGAAAGTAATGCATTTCTTTTTGTTTAGCAAATTCTAGCTCCTTACACAGATTTTCACTACAGACATAATCCAGACACAGCAGAAGGACAACTCAAGTAAGTGTAAGGGCTGGTACTTGTGCTGCCAGTTGTGTTCATGGTATTGTAATTAAACTGTTTTTCTTTCCAAATTGGCAAAATAAAAGCCGTGAGCTATTACTAAACTATTTGAAGTTGAATACGATAGCTGGTTAGAATGCAACTTCCTAAAACATTGTTAGGAATTAAGATTTCAAAAGGGAAAAACTAGGTTTACCCGTCTTTCCTTCCCCATTATATTTCTTTCACTTTAATAAAAAGTTTTCACAGTCATTTCTTACTTCAGGTATGAGTTTCTTTTTATCTTGCTTTAAACATCCACAATAGGGAGTTTATATTTGAGCTGGTTTTATGTTTGATGGTTGTATGTTCAGGCTCAGAGGGTAGTAGTTAAGGCATTTTACTGTGCCTGGGGGCCGGTAACAAGTGGAGTACCACAGGGGTCTAGTTTGAAACCTGTCCTGAAACCACCTTCATCAGTAACCTGGAGGAGGGGATGGACTGCACTCTCATGAAGTTTACAGATGATAAACTGGGGAGAACAGCTGATAGAGTTAAGGACATCAATGACATCCAAAGAGACTTTAGTCTGGAAGAGTGGGCCAAAAGGAACCTGATGAAATTCAGCAAGGGCAGATGCAGAGTTCTGTGCCTGGGAGGAAGCACAACACAATGAAGTGGGCTGTGGGCCTGACTAGGCAGGGAGAAGTTCTGGTAAGACAGTGTGCCCAGGTGGCTAAAGTTGACAGTATGTTGAGCTATACATAGCCAGCAGGTTGAAGGATGTGATTATTCTCTTCTATTTTGTATTTGTTAAAATTCACGCAAACCACTGCATCCAGTTTTGAGCCTCCCAGCTCAAGATGGTCAGGGAGCTGGAGCACATCCTGTGAGGGGAAGCTTAGGGAACATCCTTTCTAATACCTATGAAGAGGTTATCAAGAAGATGTAGTCAGACCCTTCATGGTAGTGCATGGTGTGAGGAAAAGAAACAGCAGAGAGATGAGAAATGAGAAGTTCCAACCTGATATAAAGAAAAACAAATTTCTGTGAGGCTAGTCAAGTTGGAAAAGGCTGTCCCAGAGAAGTCCTGCAGCCTTCATCCTTGAAAGTTTTTGAGACTTGATTGGATGAAGCCCTGAGTATAACCTGGTCTGGTCTCATAGCTGACTCCTTCTTTGTGCAATAGTTTAGATTAGAGACCTCCTGAGGTAACTTCCAACTTGACTTACACAATGTGTGTGTATATTTTTGTCATTTTTTGTTGTTGTTTGGTTGGTTTTGTTTTTTAAACCATCAAATGGCAGTAGATGCTTAGGTCTGGGTAACTGAATCAGTGTCCAATTCCTTAGGCCCCTGCTGTAGTCTCGCTTTCAGTGGGGGCATCAAAGTGATTAATCTGATAGACCAAATATAGATATTTAGTTTGTGATCCTTCTGCCATAGAAACTCCACTGGAAAATTAAAAGTAACAATGCTTAAAAATTCTAATCTTTGCATGTGTGTACATATTGCTTAAATAATATATACATACAAATATATACTTACATAAAAGATTTTTCTTAGTCTTGATTTTGTTCTCCATCCAAAATCTCAGTTAACTACTTATTACTTGCTATGTTAATAACACTGTTTTATAGTAATTAACTGTGTATTGTGACATTTGTTGTTATATGACAGAGAGGACAGAGAAGCACGGTTCTTAGCTAGTAAAATGGGAATAGTGGCAGCATTTCGATCATGGGCAGGTAAGATTTCTTTGTTAGTTTGTTTTAAGTTGGATAACTGGCAAGGACATTTCAGTGTAAAGGAATTGTTTATTTAAGCCCAGAATCTGTCTCTCTTGGTCTATCTTCTATCGGTGTTTTCCTATAATAGTACTAAGATGTGTTTTGATATTGTCAAATTTGAGGACTTGTACATAGGTTTTTTTTGACTAACTCTACTGACAAGATGCAGCTTTTTCAGTATAGAATACCTTGTATAGAATACAGTTGTACCTTGATGGTAGTGCTTGACATTTGATGGGTGAAAGGTTGTTGAAAATAGCTTCATATCATAAGAATTAGCCTTTGAGATTGTTCTGCCAATGTAAATAAGAAATCTATTTGTCTATACGAAGAATTTTCAACAGAACAGTTTCAGTAGCACCTGCTTTTATCAGGTGGTATAGTTGATAAATCCCAATATGGACATAGCTTTGGATTTTTCATGTAGAAGACATTTCTAAATCAAAAAAGTAGATTTTTGCATTTTTCTAAATCCCTTCTCTGTAATATTATAATACCTAACATGGAGTTACTGCCTCAAGGACTGCTTGTTCTTTTAGTCAAGTCAATGTCTTGCAAATAAACTAAATCAGTTGATATGACCACCTAAAAATTTTGGATAGGATTTTTACAGGCTATACTTAGGAAAGATTCAGATTGTATAGAAAGCATTTTGATTTGCAAGACTATTTGCATTATTTTTAATGTTCTGAAAATATTCAGTAAGCTTAATTTAACATCCAGGTATCCTTTAAAAGTCACGTGTTCTTACTTGATTGGGGAGGAAACTTGGAGAGTTTGTGACAACTTTGGAGGTTCTAAAAAGCAGTTTCTACATTTTTCCCAATTCACACTTAGAACTACTAGCATAAGCCTGAAAAGTTCAAGTGACTGAAGAAACAGTTGTCTTGGAATACATTACTTGCTGTGGTACTTTTACTGTTACATGTTCTTGCTTTCTGTTTTGTTTTTTATATTATTTACGTTGGAAGCTAAGATCTTAAAAATGTTTTTTTGGTACAAAAATGTCCTCACAATGTCAGTCTTCCGAAAGGGCATATAGCAAAAAAGTCTGAGGGTGTTTTGTTTTTGTTGGGTTTTTGTTTTGTCTTTTTGGGTGTTTTATTTATTTATTTACACCTCTCTGGACTTTCTGCTGTTGAAAAATTCTGGAGACAAGCGCTGCTTATCTGGGAAAAGATGATTAAAAACAGTGCACAGATGATATCGTTCCAAATATATTTAAACTTGCTATTTAGAATTCACCTGAGATTAGAAAGGAACTAAATAGTTTGTTAGGTTAAGATAGTGCTCACAGTTCTGCCTATATCTTTCAGGTTTAAGATTAATTCTTTATTTACAATTTTGTCTTTTCTTTCTGAAGTTTCTTTGATGCAAATATTTTTTTGCAGATAACTTGAAAAGACTGTTCACAGTGGAAAGGGCAAAAATATAGTTTTTATATAGTCTATAGTTTTTAGTGAGGGAACAAGGTTTTGCAGTTAAACATATTGATTAAAATTGGTTAGAAGATGACAATGTAAAGGTCAAAAATTTTAATCAGTAATTTTTATCATCTGTGCTTGCACACAAACTGGAAATCAAAATTAACATTGTCTAATATTTATTTTTTGGTGTTTGGTGAGGAAATATTACTATGTATTTAATGTTTTTTTTAGGTATTATCAGTCTGTGCAAACCTGGGAATTCCGGGATTCAGTCTCTTATTGGGGTACTCTGTATACCAAATATGGAAATACGGGTAGGTGGTAAATATTTAGTACTGAAATAGGAATAATATTGGATGTCTTAATTAACATATTCTTACAATTTTTTAATAATTTAGTGGTCTAAATACAGACCACTAGCCACCAATTACAAGACCACTAGCCTTGAGTTTTCTTGACCCCCAGCTTTGAGTCTATAATTCCATTATAAATTTCCTGTGTAATCTTAAGCAAGCTGCTTGCTTTTTCTGTGTCCATAAAGTGAGAATTGAGGCACATCCTGCATGTCTGATAGAAGGGAATGGAAGAGAGAAAAGGGAAAAAAGTGTTAGACTACAGGAGGTAGTAGGTAGTATACATAAAATATTTGTATGTGCTCTAATATTTATGGCAGTGAAATACATTATAGGCTATGAGAATAAATCAAGTTTTTTTTATTGTTGTTGTTTTGTTTTATTTTGTTTTAGTCTAAGTTCCTTTTTATCATTTTCTATAGATCTTGAACTCTTTAGAATTCCATTGTGATTTAAGTGGAATAAAAAATATATTAAGGTACCGTGAAATTGGTACTGCCGAAAAAAATGCTTTCAGACATTGTTCTTGGTTTTAAGTTATTTCGTTTCTTGTTTATACATTGTATAGTGGAAGTCTCCAATCTGCTGATATTTAATTGCTACAAGTAGAAAGTAGGCATTAGGAAAGGTACATCACTTGCATGGACTCACACTAGATCAATAGTACATAAATTAATTTTTGCTCTGGCCGCAAGTAAAAGCAAATTCACAATAACTGTAGTTAAGAGTTTAAAGCATTAAATTTGAGTTGAATAAAAATGTTTCTTCCCGATTACTGCCTAAACTAATAAGTTGACGGTCACAGCAGTAACTGTTGTAAAAAACTGTAATCCAAGTAGCCTAAGATTCTATAGAATTCAAAGTGATAATATAGTTCTAAAGTGAGCAATCACCTTTTCTTCTCCAGATTAACTTTAGATTATGAAAATAAGCATGTTATCAAAAAAAGAAACGCCCAAAGAGACACCAATTTTAGCACACTATAAAAATCTCAACTGCAGTGTCCTTTTTTTAATAGTGAAAAAAAGGCCATTTTTTGTGAATCTATAAAATTGCTGCCTTTTTTTTTTTTTGTAGCGAGGTCTGCTTGAGGTTCTCTATGATATATTTCGTCTTCCTCTCCCTGTTGTCACAGAAGAATTTATTGAGGCACTTCTCAGTGTAGGTAAGTATTTGGAACCAGTCCACGCAATAATTCTGTGTATTATTCTCTTCTACAAATTTGAACCCTTTACTGTTTCCTCTGTGTTGCAAATTATGTCAATATCAACTGTTTCATCACAGAATTCATTGAGTATTCTGAAGTCTCCCATTTAAAATCCTTTATCAACAATTAAGTGTTGATCAAGCTACTAGAAGTCTAACTTTCTTCTAACATCCTTACTATATCAGTTGTAAGTTTGATAGAAGAGCAGTAGTGGAACATAATGGAACATTTACACAAAAGACTGTATAATACTAGAAATTAGACTTCTTTGAAGTGTTAAAAGCATTAGTAGTGTATAAGTGTTGGTGAATGTCACAGAAAAGTTATTAGAATCATAGAATCACTTAGGTTGGAAAAGACTTCCAAGATCATCAAGTCCAGCCATTAACCAAGCACTGCCAAGTCCACCACTAAACCATGTCACTAAGCACCACATCTACATGCCTTTTGAATACCTCTAGGGATGGTGACTCAACCACTTCCCTGAGCAGCCTGTTCCAATGTCTCACAACCCTTTCAGTGAAGAATTTTTTCCTAATATCCAACCTAAACCTCAATGGAAATGGCAACTTGAGGCTATTTCCTCTTGTCCTATCACTTGTTGCTTGGGAGAAGAGACCAACCCCCACCCCACTATAGCCTCCTTTGAGTTGTAGGGAGTGATAAGGTCTCCCCTGAGCCTCCTTTTTTTCTAGGCTAAACAATCCCAGTTCCCTCAACTGCTTCTTAGAAGACTTCTAGACCCTTCACCAGTTTTGTTACCCTTCTTTGGGATACGCTTCAGCACCTCAATGTCCTTCTTGTAGTGAGGGGCCCAAAACTGAACACGGTATTGGAGGTACGGCCTCATCAGATACAAGTACAGAGGGACAATCACATCCCTAGTCCTGCTGGCCATGCGATTTATGATACAAGCCAGGATGCTGTTGGCCTTCTTGGCCACCTGGGCACACTGCTGGCTCATATTCAGCTGGTTATCAACCAATACACCCAGGTATTTGGAACTTTCTACTGGGCAGCTTTCCAGCCACTATTCCCTCAAAAGTGGGAAAAGTGTCTTTTAAAAAAGTGTCTTTTTCTATATATTGTGTATGTGCTAATTATCCCCGCTGCACTTCAGCAGACTTACTTTTACTTGGGAAAATGCATGTGTTTTCATGTCTATATTTAGCAAAGTTAGTCTTTTATGTTTAGAATTATTCCTTTGTAAACCTTAAGAATATCCTCTGCTTTGTCTCACAAAAGTGTAAGTCTGAAAAGAGCAAGTCTCAGACTTTAATGTTCCGTCATTTTCCAAACTCTGGTTATAAATGTGTGTCATGGCCTTGACTATAAAAGTTTAATCCTTGTTCTGCACTTATAAATACTTCATTCTTTGTTATAAACGTGTAACTTTGCTATATACAGATGTGCATTTTAAAATTTTAGGTCACAGAATTGTCTAGGTTGGAAGAGGCCTCAAGATTATCGAGTCCAACCTCTGACCTAACACTAACAAGTCCTCCACTAAACCATATCACTAAGTTCAACATCGAAACGTCTTTTAAAGACCTCTAGGATGGTGACTCCACCACTTCCCTGGGCAGCCCATTCCAATGCCTAACAACCCTCTCAGTAAAGAAGTTCTTCCTAACATCTAACCTAAAACTCCGCTGGCGCAACTTTAGCCCATTCCCCCTCGTCCTGTCACCAGGCACGTGGGAGAACAGGCCAACCCCCACCTCTCTACAGCCTCCTTTAAGGTACTTATAAAGAGCGATAAGGTCGCCCCTGAGCCTCCTTTTCTCCAGGCTGAACAAACCCAGCTCCCTCAGCCGCTCCTCATAAGACTTGTTCTCCAGACCCCTCACCAGCTTCGTCGCCCTTCTCTGGACTTGCTCGAGTACCTCCATGTCCTTCTTGTAGGGAGGGGCCCAAAACCAAACACAGTACTCGAGGTGCGGCCTCACCAGAGCCGAGTACAGGGGGACAATCACTTCCCTAGTCCTGCTGGCCACACTGCTTCTGATACAAGACAGGATGCTGTTGGCCTTCTTGGCCACCTGAGCACACTGCTGGCTCATATTCAGCCGACTATCAACCAATACTCCCAGGTCCTTCTCTGCATGGCAGCTTTCTAACCACTCATCTCCCAGCCTGTAGCTCTGCTTGGGGTCATTGCGCCCCAGGTGCTGGACCCGGCACTTGGCTTTGTTGAACTTCATGCAGTTGACCTCAGCCCATAGGTCCAGCCTATCCAGATCCTCCTGCAGAGCCTTCCTACCCTTGAGCAGATAGACACACACACCTAACTTGGTGTCATCTGCAAACTTACTGAGGGTGCACTCAATCCCCTCATCCATATCATCTTTAAAGATATTAAAGAGGACTGGCTCCAGTACCAAGCCCTGGGGAATGCCACTAGTGACCGGCCTCCAACTGGATTTGACTCCATCCACCACGACTCTTTGGGCCCGGCTACCCAGCCAGTTTTTAACCCAACGAAGCGTATGCCAGTCCAAGCCACGAGCAGCCAGTTTCTTGAGGAGAATGCTGTGGGAAATGGTGTCAAGGTGTTACAAGGTTTACAAGGTGTTACAAGGTTTTCTGTTAAACAAGTTTAATGTGTTTTTGAATTGTAAATTTCATTATTTTGGTTGATGAAATCTTTGTTCTAGCTTCAAAGTTAGCATCACTTTGTGCAAGGGCGTGGATTAGATGACTTATCGAAGATTCCTTCGGACATAAAATTTTCTGTAATTTAAAACCTGTTGGAATAGCTGTTGATAAGAACTATTATTTACTCACAACCATTAAAATAACACTATGAAATCCAGTGTTATAATTAACAGTTTTGGGTGTTGGTTTTTGTGTGTGTGAGATTTTGTTTGTTTGGTTTTTTGTTTGTTTTAGATCCAAGCAGGTTTCAGGACTGCTGGAGACTTTCTGATGGCTTTGTAGCCGCTGAAGCTAAAACTATATTACCCTATAGAGCCAGATCAAGGTGGGCATTTTATGAACTCAGTCTAAACTGTTGGTTTTTTGTTATTGTTGACAAAATAATCGTTTTTCTCTTGCAGAAATAGAAATGTAGAAAGAGAAATGTACTTTCTAAACTGTTTTTTTTTTCTCCTTAGACCTGATCTCATGGATAATTATTTGGCTTTAGTGCTTTCAGCTTTTATTAACAATGGACTTCTAGAGGTAACTGATGACTTCAAGTATAAATAGATGCTTGTTACTTTTCTCCTATAAATATTAAAAATAAAATACATTACATTGTATACATCCTACATTAAGTGTTGTATTTTTTTAACTTTTTTGAAGGGTCTGGTTGAAGTAATTACAAGTAGTGATGACCATGTATCTGTTAGAGCAACTATTCTTTTAGGAGAACTCTTGCACATGGTAAGTAAGACTCATTGGAAATGGATATTTTCTAGTATAGCTTTGATTTTTTTAGGAACTTGGAGCATCTACTTTTCATCAAAATAATGAGTTGTTTTATATTATTCCATATGGCACTTTATATATGACAGGATGACTTGATAGGAAGACAGTTAATCCCCATCTCAAACTTTCACCAGTTCTACTCCTTGCCTCAGTAACCAGTTGTATTTTTAAGCTGGAGTCCTGCAAACACGCTCATCTGTCACTGTGTCTGCAAAAAGGATTACTTCTGTTTTTTGCTTTTCTTTGAGTGATGGGAGCAGTAGCAACATAGAATCATAGAACGGTTTGGGTTGGAAGGGACCTTAAATATCATCTAGTTCCAACCCCCCAGCCATGGACAGGGACACCTCCCACTAGACCAGGTTGCTCAAAGTCCCATCCAACCTGGCCTTAAACACTTCCAGGGATGGGGCATCCACAACTTCTCTGGGCAAGCTGTTCCAGTGCCTCACCACCCTTATAGTAAATAATTTCTTCCTTGTATATCATCGAAATCTACCCTCTTTTAGTTTAAAGCAATTACCCTTTGTTCTATCGCCACAATCCCTGTTAAAGAGTCCCTCCCCAGCTTTCCTCTAGGCCCCTTTAAAGTACTGGAAGGCTGCTATAAGGTCTCCTCAGAGCCTTCTCTTCTCCAGGCTGAAGAACCACAACTCTCTCAGCCATTCATAGACATTCATAGGAGAGGTGCTCCAGCCCCTTGATCATCTTTGTGGCCCTCCTCTGGACTCATTCTAATGCTTCCATGTTCTTCTTGTGCTGGCAGCCTCAGAGCTGAACGCAGTACTCCAGGTGGGGCCTCACAAGAGCAGAACAGAGGAGTAGAATCACCTTCCTTGACCTGCTGGCCACACTGCTTTTGTTGCAGTCCAAGATACGTTTGGCTTTTTGGGCTGCAAGCACACCTAACCTGTATTTGTGCTTGGGATTGCTCTGGCCCAGGTGCAGGACCTTGCCCTTGTTGAACTTCATGAGGTTCTCACAGGCCCACCTCTCAAGCCTGTCAAGGTCCCTCTGGATGGCTTCCCTTCCCTCCAGTATGTCGACTGTACCACACAACTTGCTTAGCTTTCTGTCTTGCAGACTAGGTAGATGAAGCTTTTGCATGTTCAGCTTGATGTGGCTGGAGCATTTCATATTACTCATTCAGGCAACTCACAACTTGGAGTGCACTTTCAGCATTGGCTGCCCAGGGAGGTGGTGGAGTCACCTTCCCTGGAAGTCTTCAAAAGACGTTTAGATGTAGAGCTTAGGGATATGGTTTAGTGGGGACTGTTCGTGTTAGGTTAGAGGTTGGACTCGATGATCTTGAGGTCTCTTCCAACCTAGAAATTCTGTGATTCTGTGATTGCTGAAGGTATCCCTTGCGTAGCACAGAGATGCTGAAGGCACCTTGCTTCTTGCCTCTTCACTCTCCTTAACTTATCTTTAGAGTAGCTTCTCTTTTTCCTTTATTCTGCACCCCGACAAGATTAAAGTCTTTACCATTCCACACCGACAGGATTTATACTTACTTCAACAGGTAGAGAGGAGAGGGAATTGTAAATTTATCCTACTGTATTTTTCTTGCTCGGGTTGTGCTAGCCTATTCCAGATGAAAACCAACCAACCAAAAACACAAAACAAAACAAACAACAAACAAAACCACATCCATGCTTGAAGAACAGAACTTAACCTATTTTTTTTCAGGTATAGAATTGATTTTTTTTATTTTCATATACACTCAAGTGCTACCTCACAGACTGCTGAGGAGCTTAGAATTCTTCAGATTTTTTTTTTATTTTATTTCTGATTTTATATATTTTAGTATTTATACACATGACATAAGGATGAGTGGTGCTTTGCATGTTTTTGCATGTTACCACTTCAAAAACCACCAATGCAAAAAATAAAAATTAGAAGGCTCTGAGTCCTAAGATTCTCTTTAATTGTATTTCAGATTGATTAATTAAATTATTCAAAATGGTATGTGTAATTATTGCTCTGACATTATGCAAAAGTTAGTTTTGTTTTCATGCATTTGTGAAAGTCTTATGAAAAGGGGTAGGTTCTTCAAAAACTTATCCTTAAGAGATGTCTAAAAATGTTGTAATATGTTATTCTAACAAGTCGTCTTTTTTGTTGTTTAGGCAAACACAATCCTTCCTCATTCTCACAGCCACCACCTACACTGCTTACCAACTCTAATGAATATGGCAGCATCTTTTGACATAATGAAAGAGAAGAGACTGTAAGAATTCCAAGTTACACTTAAATGTTAAAATATGTCATTTTCCCCCTGTAGTTGAGTGAAAACCTACATTACAAATTTCCTGGTGGTTGAAACCACCTCTGTCTTTATTTAAAAACAAACACTTGCATATAGAAATACTCTGTGACATTTACTAGGGAAAAAGTTTCCAGTGCATGATTCCAGAAGTGTGATATATTACGGTAACAATTTAGAAATTGAGAAATCCAGAAAGAAAGCTTTGATAGTCGTTTTCAGGACAATTTTACATATATTGCAAGACTTTTTTAACATAATGTTTCTAAACGAACTATAAGACACTGTTTGACCAAGCAATGTCTGAGTCATGTTCTGTGTTTTTAACCTCTCTATTGTCTCACATTTCTTTTTTTGGCATTTTGATGCAATTAAACTTTCCAACCTAAGAATGCTTGTGCCATTTTTTTCTTCTGTTTTTGTTTATCTATAGATAATTAAATAGTAATTGACCAAATCAGTGAATCATTGGTGTGAGCAAAAGCAAAAATGTAACATTGGTATGGGACTGTTTCTTAAACCCATTTTCTTCTGAAGACAGTAACAATAGTGCCTATGTTAAAACTTTCTGCTGCTTTTGTTTGGAGTTTGCAATGTTAATTTTTTCAATTCTTTTAATTTCCATTTAAATAAAAGAATTCAATGAAAAAAATAATAATGTAGACTTGAAACAAATGTTTATAGAAGTTTTTTATTCCTCATTGAACTAGAAAATCCGAGCTCTGTATAGATATAAAGAGGAGGATAAGCCCTTGGGGTTCTGGGGGGCAAGGGGAAGAGACATTTTACAAGAAATACTTTCTTAGACAAAGTTGAAGCTAGCTCCCTCAACTCTCTACCGCAGAATGTTGTTCTACTGTGACATCTTGCAATACTTTATCAAATTTAAACTTTGCAACATCTTCTGTGAAGTCTGAAAGAAACCAACAATTGCAGAGTAGAAGCAAAGGTATCAATAAGGCTCATTCTTCAGTACTAATAATTCTTAAAGATAATTTTCTTTATAATTTCAAAATATGACTGAAGTGTATGGATAATGTATGAAAACTTATACCAACTTATACCTTTTTTTTTTTAATTTGGCTTCAGAATTGTTGGTAAACTCTTTCTTGAGCTATGCTTATTTAACTCAGTATATAGCACTGGAGTTCTTTAGATAGATAACAGATGTCAATTATTGATTATAGTATTTTTTCTATTAGACGAGCAAGTGCTGCGCTGAACTGCTTAAAACGCTTTCATGAGATGAAGAAAAGAGGGCCAAAACCTTACAGCCTCCATTTAGATCATATTATTCAGAAAGCAATCTCAACCCACCAAAAACGGAATCAATACCGTGTGCAGAAAGATATCTTTATTTTAAAGGTATTATCATTATTGATCTTTCAAAACTTAATTTGACTTTGTATTTTGGAGACTTAAATCCCACCACCTCCACCCAGCTTTACTTTCTGATTTAATTCTGAGTCATTTATCTAATTTTTGTATTTTTTTAATTTAATGTCTTCTAACTACTTGTGGATACTATATTGTGTTTTCTAGAACTTGAGTGAAATTACAATAATTTTAATGCTTTTTAGGCCCCATTGTGATCTCCTGCTGTTAATTCTTAATACAGTACTGCAACTATGCAATTTACTCTCAGATGCAAATTACTGCAGAGCATAGCCCTTTAAATGCTTGTTACATGACCAGTAAGTGTATCATGTGACAACACTGACAACAGTAATGCAAAGAAACTTAATGTAACTTTTCATCTCTGTGTTCCAGGATACAGAAGAAGCACTTGTAATGAATCTGCGAGACAGCCAGGTTCTCAACCATAAAGAGAACCTTGAGTGGAATTGGAATTTGATAGGGACCATACTGAAGGTGAGCCTAAAAAGAGCATGACAGTATTCTTTTATGGAATTGTTTGAAAAAAAACATTTTTGTTTCACATGTGAGCTTTGACTTCTAATATTAATTCCATATTATATGCCATAATCTGTTCTATTTCAGAAAATTAGGATGTCATGGGTTTAATCAGTACTGATAGTCTCTTTATATACAACCCTTAAACTGTATGCAAAAAAAACCCTACAGTTAAATTCACAAATTTCTGAATAAGCCCATATTAAATCTTATATAACTTTATTTGTATAGAAATAGACTTTATAGAAGGTGATATAATGACGTTCAAGTTACTAATACTTTAGACTTCAGTCCAAACTACATAGGAATACTGCCTTGTTTCATAGCATTTTTTTTTCATATAACATGAACCGAAGGTTAAGGTTGGAGGTGGGTTATTGATCAAATTTAAGATGCTTAGACCAAGGCACATCTTAAAACTTCAGTAATGCACAGTCTCGTTATATAATTTTTGAACTAATACCAATAGTCCCATAGCATCAAGTTTGTTACAAAATTAACACATCTTCGTAAAACACTTCATAACAGGAAATATCTCTAACAGGCAGGGCATTATCTTAAATGGTGCACAGCTTTTAAGGGTCTACTTCTTTTCTGAGCAGAAAACTTTCTTTAAGTAAGAAAACTTTGAGTAAGTACTCAGTATAGTTTTAGAGCCAAAATAACTCCTATCATTCTGTGTATCAAAGCCATCCTTCTAGTGTTATCCTCAAGTAATGTTTTCTTAAGGTCTTCTTTACTATGTTGTTATAAAGATGGTGTAAGTACAAAAAAAGGATTCATAGTGACACACATAATCAAGATTATACTTTAAAAATATATATTTCTGTGTGTTTTTTCAGGGACTGATAAACTTGAGAAAGCAAGAATCTGTCTGATATAAAGACCTAAATAGGTACATGACAGTAACTTTGCTCCACTAAATTTTACTTGTTTACAGGCTTTTTACTGTAATATTACTAAATTTACTTTAATCAGATATTTTTATCTTTGACTCAGTAATAAAGATATTATCAAGAAACTGTTTTTCAGAATCTCACGTTTAATTAGTCTGTGTAGTACTTTGATAATGGAAATTTTATGCAGTTGACCACTAATATTTTTTCCCTGAAATTTAAAAGCAGAAAAGCTTCAGGTCAAGCTGTCAATTTCCCTGCTATCTCAGACCTGCACTGCAGTATATTTTATAGTGTCATGTCAAACAGTTTTAAATGTCACAAAATTAGTGACTTCTGTCTTTCATAATGAGAAGTTACTGTGTTATATGGTTAATTTCTAACCACTTCTGTTCCTGTTTACATTGTTTTTGTATAGTTTAACAGAACTGTCCGTCTTTGGTCACTGAATGAGCATGATTCCAGTGTTTGGACTTCATTATCTCATGTGGCTACACACCTCCCTCCTATCTCTGTAACAGCCTTATAGCTGTGGAGAGCATCAGAATTGCACAATGGTTAGGATTGGAAGGGACCTCTGGAGGTCATCTGGTCCAACCCCTCTGCTCAAGGAGGGCCATGTAGAGCAGGTTGCTCAGGACCATGTCCAGAAGGCTTTTAAAGATCTCAAAGGAAGGAGACTCCACTACTGCTCTGGGCAACCTATTCCAGTGCTCTGTCACCTGTACAATAAAGAAGTGCTTCCTGATGTTCAAAGGGAGACTCCTGTGTTCCAGTTTGTGCCCATTGCCTGGACACCACTGAAAAGAGCCTGGCTTGGTGGTCTTTGTACCCTCCCTTCATGTATTTATATACATTGATGAGAATCCCCTCTGAGAATCCTCCTCTTCTCCAGGCTGAACAGTCCCAATTCTCTCATCCTCTACTCATAGGAGAGGTGCTCCAGTCCCTTGATCATCTTTGTAGCCCTCCACTGGTCTCTTTCCAGTATGTTCATGTTTCTCTTATACTAGGGGGCCCAGAATTTGATGCAGTTGTTATAAATTCCAAGTCAATTTAGCTTTATAAGATTTATTTATGGGGTCAATAAAAAGCAAGTAAACAGCGCTGGGTGTGCGGGGAATCTGGGCTCCTCCAACACACACACAAGTTACATCAGGCAGCTGGTTTTTATGCTCCTAGGCTAATACATATTCATTACTACTTCTGGAAAAGGCAGGGTTATTATAATTAGTTCCCAGAATCCAAACCCTCCCACTGGCGCATGCGTATTAGTCTCCGGTGGTGCCTCTGGGGGTCTCTCATGCTGAAGGCTCGTAGTCTTCCTCCCAGGCTTTTTCCTTGTCCTTCTCCTTTGTCCATCTTGGCCGGATGTCAGAGACTTGTGCAGCCTCCCCTGTAAGCTTTGTCTTTTAGTCGTCCTTCAGCTTTCCCCTTCTCTTTAATCTCTTGGCTGGATATCAGAGACTTGCATAGTGTCCCATGCAATAGTCATAATAGTTAGCAGTTATTCTGAAACCCCCCAGATATCTGAGACTCAAGGTTTACCCTTCAAGCCCTCTATTGACATGAATTGCTGAAACATTCCTTACAATCCCTCATCTTCTTTTTAATATTCTCAATTTGTGTCTCTTCAACTTTTGCCAGTAACAACTGGATTTCATCATTCGGTTCTTGGGGGGTCCATTTCTTAAGCATCATTATTGACACATGACCTTTCTTCTCTACTGAAGTCATCACAAATTGGGTACTATTTATTATTCAGCCTATCAATAACGTAAAGCAAGGTATCATAGGTATAAATACTAACATCATTACACCACATAAAAATAAAAATAACATCCTTTTAACCCATGGTCCACCGGGCAGCCATGAAAACAAATCCCAATCCATACCCTTCCAAGATTGTACTGGGACGTGAGCTAATTTCCTAATTTCCTTTGTTATCTGTTTAACCACTTTTCCATTATCATCAATTTGTAAACAACAATTAGAATCGTTCAGCTTTCCACACACTCCCTTTTCTTCTGCTAGTAAATAGTCTAAAACCATTCTATGTTGAAAGATAGGTTTCCTCATCTGGGTGGATTAATCAGACAGAAGGTCCAAAGCCGTCGCTTTTTGATTGGTTACAATTTCAAGGACAGCTTGCAACCTAATTATTCGATTCAAATTATAAATAGGTTCTCGGGCTCCCAATACTACCTCATTCGGGTTCCAGGTAGCTGGTCCATAATGCTGTATGAGTCTTTCAGGAGGCCTTTCATTCTCTCTCCATTTTTGGGCACTACCCCCAGCTAAGGAAGCATCAATAGATTGTTTTACTCTATTCAGATCATCAAATAATCTTATTCCTAAATGATTTCCTTGTATTTGTGACAATAAAAAGAACAAGGGTCTTATGTACCCCACATAGCATATTCCCGACCAGTTTTCAGGTAGCCTCTTGTAGGCATGTTTGCCATGTTTGCCACACACCCAATAATGTCCCTTTAGGGCCCATGTCCCGTTTGGAAAAGGACCATCCCATCCTTCTTTATTCTTTGGAGCGTGAAAATACAAAGTGTTCTTGTTACCAAGTGGTCCTGTTACAATGTCTGCCCCATTTGTACTTGTATATGCACACCTCCAAGCTCCCGCATTGGATTCCCAATTACAATTAAAATCAAGTTTTCCTTGGCAGCCTGTCATACTACGAGCTGACCAGTAATGTTTAAAGAACACTCGCCTCCCATTCTCATCTTGTCATCTCCAGCAGTAGACCCTTACCACATGCTGTTCCCTGGTGGTGTTATCATGCTGACAGCTCAAGATTTGACCGTCAAATTGTCCCCCCACTGGTGCTCTTGCCACGGTTTCACATCCAGATCCAAAAAATTCCCTATATGAGCATGTCAGCCAAGTCCCGTTTCTCAGCTGGACATGTGTGGTGTTCCATTTCCCACTACATGCTGTACAGTTTATAGGTCTACATTCAGGATCAGTACAATCATATTTGGGAGACAGAGTCCAATTACAAATGCTTTTTCCTACTGCTATCATTCCTGTTCTGTTTAAACAGTATATACCCCGATCTGACGAGTGCAATTGCCACAGGCTTCCTTCCTATTTCCGAAATTGTGTCCCATTATGAACTTCACTCAAATTACTAGCTCACCACTTGGGTTCGACCGGGCCAGCTACCCAGGGCCAACTTTCAGTTCCCCCCTGGTCCTCCACAAACCCAGCAGTTACTAAGGTTAAAGGCCTTGGCCACTTCCTCCACCAGAATGAAAAAGTTATTCCTCCATTCTTGCCCATGGCTCAATTGCCCCTGTAAAAACAATACCAGGAAGTATAGCATTTCTTATCCTTTGCACGGTCCAATCTTGAGGGTGTGGGAAACGCCTTCAATCAAGGGGTTGGGCCCACTTTCAGGATCGATTTGAGCTTGTGTTACCGTTCAGCCTTTCAGGGTGATCCAGCTCCTGGAAAACTAATCACAATTTTATATGGGTTTAAAAAAAAGGTTCTTATGTTATTTTCTCGGGACAACCCGACCTTAGTGCGAGAGAAGTCCGGTCGAGGCCCTCTCACTCGGTGGTCAATACCCATAGGGGTTGCCTCCCTCGGTAGACCATACGCACCGCAGTGGAGGGTCCTGCCCCGGTCTTGCCTTCTCCCTTTCCTCCCTTCAGGCTTGTCCCCTTTATTTGACATCCTTAATTCATGCAGAGCCTCGTTGCCAGAATATGAGTTCTTCCTTAGCTTTAGTTTCAGTTTCCCAGGAGCGGACTCAACCCTCCAAGTTTCGGTAGTTACTGGTCCTTTTATTCTGGATGCGTGGGTCCAACCCCTTTCTGCTGTTCTCACAGCTGCTTCAGTAGTAAGTAAAACAAAGTATGGTCCCTCCCATCGGGGGTTCAATGATTCTTCCCTCCAGGTTTTTATTAAGACCTTGTCTCCTGGTTGTATCTTATGAATAGCAAACCCCAGTGGGGTGTTTTGTGCTAAAATTCCCTTTTCCCTTAATTGTTGTAGTTGTTTCCCTGTCATGATCACATATTTCTGGCTTTCATAATT